ATTATTAGAAAAATTTATTAGAAAATCTTTTTTTAAGTGTTTGTATCCCAATTAGTTTATAAGATATTCTTATATTCTAATAAGTCCTATTATTTGGACATTTGATTTACCAAATCCTAATTCTCGTATTTAAGGTATTTTATAGACATTTCTACCCTTACAAATATTTTTTGAACAGTTAGCAATTTGGTGATGTGAACATTCATATTCTAGAATGTGAATATTCACATTAATGGTGTGAACATTCATATTACGGAACATTCACAATGTAAATGTGAATATTATTAGGGCTATTTTGACAACTATGTCACCCACAGGACTTATTGGAATATAAGAAAATAATGTGGACTAAATGGAATATAAGTAGGTGAAAATGGATTTATAAAAAAGTGCCCCTTATTATTATTATTATTATTTTTACATTACAACTTTGTAATGTAAAATTTATTTTCTCATCAATTTTGCAAATGAAATTGAGGATTATTCATAACATTCATTATTATAGGGGCTTTTGGGTAAGATTTTTTCTTTTTCTTTTTTTTTTCCTTTGAACAAAAAAAAAAACAAAAAAACAAAAAACAAAAAAGGTCTTTAGGTAATGAAGAGGGTCGGCCTAACCATCGATGAGGCCTAAGGCGAGATTTGAATAAGTGCCTTTCATGTTTATAAATTTCAATAATATTTATTAATTTTGAGGGTTTTTAAAGTTGTTTACGAGGGCTATGAAATACAAATAAATAAAAAGTGTCATAAGCTATCTAATAAATGGAATTCATAGATTCAAAGTAAAGACTATACTAGAAGGGGAAAAAATGAATACTAAATTTGTAGAGCTCATTTTAAATTAGTGAAGACTTTTTTCCAGCATGCCCAAAATAACATATTAGATGTCTTGACTTACTTACCCAAAAAAACATATTAGATGTCTTTCAAAATCACATACTTTGTATTTGGTTGGGAGATTTGAGAAGAAATTTAGAAATGGAAAGGAAAAAAGTTTGTGAAACTAATATGTAAAATGTAAATATATTTTATTCACATTTCACCTACTTTTTTTCTTTTCCTTTATAAATTCCTTCTCAAATCTCCCAACCAAACACAGGTAAAGGGTTTTTTTTTTTTTTTTTTTTCAATATGGACCTTTCAAAAAAAAGAAGTGTGAGTTTAAAAATTACTAAACGCCACTAAAGGAATTAGCGGCGTTTTTGATAGATATAGCGGCGTTTTTTAAACGCCACTAAAAGTCCAATTTCCAGCAGTGTGTTTTCCTTTATTTATTTATTTTGGGTTGTGTGGACGTCTTTTTCAAATATATAGATTTTGTATTATACAAAATGAGTATTTTTATTAAAGGGAATAAAAATATATAATGCCTTCTGGTCATATCTAAAAAATTTGAGGCTTTTTTAAAATGTGGTCTAAAATGATTGCTTTAGTGTACATAAGCCGGCCCTGATAATGAAATTTTATCTTTTGTTCGGCCTTTGGACTAGTGTTCAGTTTAAGCCTTTAACCGTCTCTTTCCTCGTTGATTTTCCTTGTGGTATATTTTAGAAGAATAATGTTTGAGGGCCTGAAATTAGGGGCTTGAATTTGGTTCAAAATTTAAAATGACGTCATTTTGGGTTTTTGATTTTTTTTTTTCTTCCTTTTCTTTTCTTCCTTTTCTTCCTTTTCTTTCTTCTTCTTCGTTGAGTTGAACAGAGGCGAGAGAGAGAACACAGAGGCGAGAGCGAGAACGCAGGTCATCGTCGTCGCAGCTCGTCGGCGTCCCAGCTCGTTGGCCGATCTCGCAGCTCGTCCCTCGTCGCTCGCCGGCATCGCAGCCTGCCTCCACCTCTGCCTCCGCTCGCCGCCGCCTCCGCCTCCACCTCCACCTCCGCCCGATTTTGTTGGCCTCTCCAATCGAGTGTTGGAACAATCTTCTGTGTAAATAAAATAACTTAAAATAATTCAAACAAAATAAAATAAAACTTACAGAATTTATTTTGTTGAACCGAATTAATAATTGCTTATTTCGGATTCCGATATCTTCGGAGGCAACCTCGGCCTAGCCGAGATGACCTCGGCACAACGACCAAGACACGTGGCACCTCGGCTAACACATCGGCATCACCTTGCCACGTGTTGATACTCAGAAAATATATCCCCACAATTACATAAATGTTATATTTGGAACACACATCTTCATATAAATTGGTTGTTTCCATGCCAAAAAAAAAAAAAAAAACTAGTTGTTTCCATTTGTTGTGATGAACTTTGTTGCACTTAATCATGTAATATAAAATATTTGGGGAAATTATAAAAGGAAATTCTAAAATTTGACCCTTGTAACAAAATAAACTATGAATTTTTAATTTTGTTAACTGAAACTTTAAATTTTTTATTTATTTTCAATTTAAACCTTTTGTCTATTTTTATTAAGTAAAATTAATTAAAAAATAAGATATTTTAATCATTAAACTCAATAAAAAATTATATTTTAAATATTTAATGACTAAAATATTCTTTTTCCATTGATTTTACTTAACAAAAGTAAGTGAATGATTTATATTGAAAACAAATCAAAAGAGTTTGAATTAAATTAACAAAATTAAAAACTCAGGTTTATTTTGTTGCAAGGTTCAAATCTTCAGAATTTTTTTTAAATTTTTTTTTTGGTAATTGTACCAAATATTTTACAAACTATTTTTGTTCCAAAATTTTGTTTTTATAATGAGTATTTATAAATCAAAAATATTAATTAAGTGGAACGGCTGTTCTTACTCAAACTAACTCCAATTAGTTTTGGTTTCAAGCTTAAATCCAACCAAAATTAACCCAACCTATACTCACCCTCAATTGTATTTGGAGTTGAGATCATATGATATTTCATACTCATTTCTTTTATATATATATATATATATATATATATATATTTCTTTAAACAAAAAGAGTGTATGTCAGTCCCTTGAAAAATAGGAGGTTTTTAATGTTATCTCAAAGACTGACACTAGACCAGGACGAACGTTTTGTCAAACTATATTGGTACACACATCTCAACAGGTTTGTGATATATGCATTTTACAATTAAGAAAAAAATTGATATGATTTTATATTTTTAAGTTATAATTAAAAAAATAAAAAGTATCATAACAAAACATAATAAAGCATAATTAAAGAATTTATAAGCCATAATTAAAATAATATCATAATTAAAGAAGAAAATGACATAATTAGAAGTGCATATAGTACACCCTTTTTAAAGGTGTATATTAGAATTTTTTCTTAGGAAACACTATGGTATACACCCTTTAAAGAGTACACTATATGCACCTTATAATAATTGAAGAAAATGACATAATTTCATATTATTTGAATCATAACTAAAAAAAAATTAAAAAATTAAAAAAAATTATAATCAAACATCACATGAAGTACAATTAAAGATCTAATAAGTCATAACTAAAATATTATCATAACTAAAGAAAAAAACTGATTATAACTATAGAAAAAAATAACATAATTAAAAATATATATAATACACATTTTTTAAAGAACGTGTATACTAAAATTCTTCAAAACGGTATCATTAAGGACGTTCTATACCTAGAGTTGAATTTGGTTTGTCTTGTTTTGGTAAAACTCTTTCATTATTACGGTCTTATTTGAGAAGTTGACTATTTTAATTGATTATTTGATTTTTAACCATCTTATAGTCTGTCTTGTTTTGGTTGCTTTTTTATACTTGATTTGATAGTTATGAGAAAAAATATAAAATAATTATAAATTAGATATAATATTTTATTTTTTTAACTATTTTAACCTATTTTATTTTTTAATAAATTATTTTAGTTCAATCCTCCTCCCAAACACCCTTATATATATACCCTTATATATTGTTTATGTGAGAGTAGTTATTGAAATACGTTGGATTTTGGTGATAGATGCAGAGATACAAATATTGTAGTTTTTTAGACACTTACTATTGATCATAACGTAAAAAAAAAAAAACAAATAATGATAATAATAAGGGCAAATTACAACAATAGTTATTATATTTTGTTCTTATATTATTTTAATCCTTATATTTTCAAATGTCTCAATTTTGACAATTAATTTTAAATTGTGTCCAATTAATAATATCGTTAGTATTTTTGACTAAAAATTATTATTAAACTGATTGAGATTAACTCACTAAATTGAGCAAGTTTATAATTTTATCCCTAAAAACATTATATATGCCACTTATATGTTTATTGTTCATTAAAAAATGTTAACAATTACAATCAATTGAATTAAGTTGAGACGAAATCATAAATTTTGAGTCAAAATTGAATCAATTGAAATTATAGGGACCAAAATTACAAGTACTAAAATACAGGGACTATTAATGTAATTTACCCCAAAAATAATATAGACGTCCACTTTCTAAATCTATTTTTAAAAATTAGTAATATGTAAAAGAGATAATTAGTTGGTAATTAAAGAATACATGAAAAAGAATTGTCTTGAATATTTTAGTACATTATTATATCGTTGAATTTAAAAAATAAATTTAAGTTTGATTTTAAAATAGTGTTACTACTTATGAGATTGACGGTAGACGTAAGCTTACTCTAAACCATATAATTTTTTGTGTTTTGTTTGATTCTCTCTATTGGTTTGTGATTGTTATAGTCCTTATTCTTAATCATTATAGCCCTCATCAATATTGGTATGATTAAGTTTTGTTGGAGCTCTCTGGACAACACCTAGCAACATTTTCTGTTCTACAAAGAAACCATAATGTTAATATAAAAAATAAATTAGGTTGGAAAAAATGCTACAAATTAGGGTTTTATTCATTCATCAAAAAAAAAAAAAAAAAAAATGAGAAAAACTTATTTTTGGGCACAAGTGTTTGCACACCATTTATAATATAGTGAAAATTTTTCATGATTGTGTGTGAAAATTTTGAAACATAAATTCATTTTGATACATGATTGTGTGTGAGAATATATTAGAATAAGGAACAATGATAAACAATAAATAATGAATTTTTCATTATATGCATGCAAATAGCACTGCATTAATCTACTACAAATAAATCAAAAAATTTATAATATTGCATAATGAAATGCAAAGAAAGGAGTAGAAGACAGCTAAAATTTCACACCACCTCTTAATATGTACATGCATAAGACCACCTCTCTCCTCTCACTAGAGTTCTCTCTCTCTTCTGGATGAGTAGGTGTAGCTATATCTCTTCTTTTTTTTTTTTAATTTTTAATTTTTTACGGTGGATAATTCAATGTAATTATCACCTCAGTGGTTTTGTCGTCGGGTCTCGCTAGATTTAGTAAACGCCTTAAGAAACGTCCAAAACCCAATCTCCCCTAATTTAGTAAACTCCGTTAAATAACTGTAAGTTGTGAGTATCCAAAAGAAGGGTGGGGTGATAACGGAGACAACGGGGGAATCTCAAAAATACCCTTCATATCAGCATAATCCCAAAACGGCGTCCAATTTGACGGCGTCAGCGGACAAGCGGCGAAACCACTCTCCGCCGTCTTGGTGTCAGATTCCGGCGATTTCTCCCTCTTAATCGCCACACTTCTCCTCTCTTCACTCTCCTCCTCTCTCCCTCTTTTCCGGCGAGTCTCCGCCGGTGGGTCAGATTCCAGCGAGTTCTCAATCTCATGAGGGAAATTCAGTATAGCCTTGCTTCCCCGGAGCTTGAACGCCGCTCGATCATACGCCTTTGCCGCCTCCACGGCGGTGTCGAAGGTCCCGAGCCAAACCCTCGCCCCTTTCCGATTTGGGTCTCGAATCTCCGCCGCGAATTTCCCCCACGGCCGCCGTCTCACCCCCCTGTAATGCCTTTTCTCGCAGGAATCCGCCGCCTGCGGCGGAGACCCGGCGGCACACAAATCTGACCCCTGTATTTTGTTCTTCGCCGCCAACGCCGCTGCCGGAATCGAAATGTTCAGGGAAGGCTTGCGGTCGCTTAGCTTCGAGGTCTTTGGGCTGATGATTTGGGGCTTTATCTTGAACTCGAACTGATCAATTTCTTCTTCGACTGGTTTCAATTTCAAGCTATTGGGTATCTGAAACTCGCCATCATCATTAATATTAACAATAGTAGGAGTGTTTTTCAGCTCAGAGGAAGTGGAATCGGAAACAGAGATCTGAGAAAACTGGGTTTCGTAGGATTTTGAAGTACTAGAAAGATGATCAAGATTCGTGACAAAGTTCTCAGTGAATGCAAAATCATCAAGAAGGTGTTGGCGAATGAGTTCCAAAGCAGAGGATTCAACAACTGAGGCCATTGAAAAGACTCTGTTTTGAGTGAAGTGAAGAGAACAAGTAGTCTTTGTATGTGTGTGTGTTCAAATTCTCTTTTTCAAAAACTGAAATTTATGGGTTTAAGAGAGGGAAGATTGGTGGGTTTGGTTGTAGTTGAAATTCAAAGTTTGGGGGATGAGTGGAAAAAACGGGAGTGATGAAGGGCTTTATAAAGGGGGTGAATTTTAAGAGGTAGGAGAGAGAAAATGAGTGAGGTTCGTATGAGGTTTCGAGGAGGGAGGTAGGAAGTATCGTTTGGAGTTTTCCTAAAAAATGAAGGTGAGTGGAGTGCAAACAAAGGGACAATTGATGTTTTGGTGTTGTGTCCTTTTGTGGATGTATTATTATTATTATGGGCCATTTATCCATCCATGACTTCCACCAAAACTCTGCTTCCAGGGTACTTCGGGTATAAAACAAAGGGGGGATTCCTTTGCAGTCCACGGTATTTTATTTACGTGTGTTTATAATTTTTTTTTTAATAATGTTTGAGACCATTAAAAGTGGTGCTTTAAAAGCATCACTAGTGATGCGACAGTGAACAGAACCCACTGCTTGTATCTTTTTTTTTTTTTTTTTGTTAAAGTGTTTGCCAACTCATTAGTAGTACTTTAGAGCACCACTTTTAGTGAGATGTATCATTACCCCTTTTTTTTCTGGTCTATTGTTAAAGTAATTTTCCTTAAAACAAACACTTTGTTTGATTGGTTTTTAGAAAATTTACTTTCTTTATTTTTTGTATTTTAATTTTTTTAATGAATTTTTTAAATATTTTTAGTACTTTTTTTTTGAATTTTTAGACACAGCTAATATAAATACACTTAAAGAGTATAATATTTGTAAAAAAAAAATCTTTAAAAAATACACTAAATACCAAAAATTAAAAAAAATAAAAATTCAGTACATTTTTCATATTTTTGTGTATTTATTAATTTTTAAAAATATTTTTTCATAAATATTTTACTATTTAGATACATCTAAGTAAGGTGCATTTAAAAAGTAAAAAAAAAATTGCTTAAAATTTGAAAAATATTCATTAAAAATAAAAAAATATGAAAAATAAAAAAAAAACTCAATTTTCAAAAAACTGAATTTAAAAAACTGAAACCAAACAAACTAAATAATTCTCATTTGAATAGTATCACCACTTTTTAAGAACGAACACTTTTCAAACTATGATACAGTAATTAATTAAAATATTTAAAGCAAAACTTTTTTTCCTATCTTCTCTAATTATCAATCAATCATCTCATTTATACATTATTTGATCTAGAAAATAGAGTTATATATCATTTTCCTTTAAAAAAATTGTCAAATTTATTTTATATACAATAATTTAACTTTAAATTTAAAAAATTAAATGAGACCAATTTACAAAAATGATACTTGTAAAATGATATTTCAATGACATTTTAAAAAAGGTTGGGTTTCTCTGAATTTGAGAGGTTTATGGGGTTCAATATGGGTTCTGTTTCGATGATCCGAATCATTTAGTTTTTAGGACTCTTTGTATACATCATTCATTAAAAAAATTAGGTCAATTTAACAATCATAAATTTTTTTATTTTATCACTTTTGTCTTAAAAAGATGGATGATCTATTTTCAAATATATATATATATATATTTTAAAAAAAATCTAGAGTAAACACGATATAATAAAAATGTGATCGGATTAGTTTTTTTTTTTCATGAATTATTGAGGCCTTACAAAATAAAATGATTCGGATTATCGAAATGGAACATGTTTTTTTTTTCATGAATTATTGAGGCCTTACAAAATAAAATGATTCGGATTATCGAAATGGAACATGTTGTAGGCTCCATAAGTCCCTCAAATTTCTCTTAAATTCAAATTTAAAATCAAGAGAAACCCAACCCTTTTAAAATTATAAGGATAATAATGTGTTCGGAATGAAAATAAAGAAATCACGAAAAAATATTTTTTTCTTGAATTCTCTTAGGTTCAAACTTAAATTGCGAGGATCTCAATCCTTTTAAAAATATAAGGATAATAATGTATGTTTTGATTGAAAATTAAAAAAAAAAATGACAATTTTTTTTGTTTTGTTTTTTTAATTAACAGTGAAAGCCAATGGTTATTAGATAAGAATATAAGGGGAGTTAAAACTCTTATTCTCTCCTTACAAGCACTTTTTATTATGAAGAGTGAAACTTAAGACTTTTCCTTCAAAAAAATAAATTTGATAGTCGAAGGATTTCGTTACAGAGGGTACAAAGAGTATTAAAAATTTTGTACAAAGTTTTTTTTATTTTTATTTTTGGTTATCATTAATATTATGGGACCTACAACAATTTGTAATTTATTTTTCTAAAAAAAATATTAGAGATTTCAAAAGATTTAATAAAATTTTTATCAAATATCTCATATGAGTGTGAGACCCACACCATGTGAGTCTCATGCGGATCCCATACTTATTTGAGACATTTGATAAAAAAAATTTGATAACATTTTTTTCAAATTTTATTTGTTTATTACACTTTAATTATTTCAGTTTGACCACTAAAAAAGAAAGGGTAAAAAAGAGAGAGAAGGAACAAAGAAAGAACAAGCTTTATTATTGCAAACGAAGACTTGAAAGGGACAGTTATTCATGTGATCTTGTTCTTCGAAATTACATGTCTTCAAAAAGACAAGTTTTACTTGTGAGTCATGCTTTACATGTCCTTTTCAATTTCAAGATTTTTAGACTTTTTAATAGTAAATGAGTTTTGTTGACTAGTGTTTAAAATAAAAGGTAAGTAAAATTTAAAATAATTGTATCTCTCTTTTTTGGTTTATTTATTTTTATTTATTTATTTTTGTTTTATTTTTTTTTATGAAATTTAAAAACATACATTTATAAACGGGCCTCATAAACTATACTCCCTCCATTCCAAAATTTTAGTTTCTTATTTAATTTTTTATTATTTCAAAATATTAGTCACTTTTTAAAAATCAAAAATTAAAATAATATGAATTTCTTATTTTACTAATTTTTAAATTCATTAACACTATTTGAAGTGTATTAATTGTACTATAAAAGAAGTTGGAAAGAACAAGCTTTATTATTGCAAACGAAGACTTGAAAGGGACAGTTATTCATGTGATCTTGTTCTTCGAAATTACATGTCTTCAAAAAAGACAAAGTTTTACTTGTGAGTCATGCTTTACATGTCCTTTTCAATTTCAAGATTTTTGGACTTTTTAATAGTAAATGAGTTTTGTTGACTAGTGTTTAAAATAAAAGGTAAGTAAAATTTAAAATAATTGTATCTCTCTTTTTTGGTTTATTTATTTTTATTTATTTATTTTTGTTTTATTTTTTTTTATGAAATTTAAAAACATACATTTATAAACGGGCCTCATAAACTATACTCCCTCCATTCCAAAATTTTAGTTTCTTATTTAATTTTTTATTATTTCAAAATATTAGTCACTTTTTAAAAATCAAAAATTAAAATAATATGAATTTCTTATTTTACTAATTTTTAAATTCATTAACACTATTTGAAGTGTATTAATTGTACTATAAAAGAAGTTGGATTCTCCCAAAATGACTAATATTTTGGGATAGAGAGACTAAAAGCATATAAATTGGACCCTCTAACGGAAGGGATCAAATGCTAATAGTTTAGGAGTTCTATCTGTATATTTTTATAGTTTAGATAATAAAGTGATATTTCTCAATAGTTTAGAGAGTCTATTTGTACGCTTTTATAATTTAAAAGGTTAACGTAATATTTCTCAATAATTTAGGAGTCTCCATATAAATAACCCAATGTTAATCTCATTCTATTCAATTTGTTTAAACAAACATAGCCTTAGTGTATTACCTCATGTATATCATCATTCATTTTATTGGAGATAAACATAATTGATGGGATCCATTGTACCAATAATGTGATGCCAAAATTAGTCTTTTAGGTGGAATTTCAACCATTCTTCTATATATAGAAAAAAAAAATAATGAAAATCAAAATAAATGATCAAAGTTTCAAGCATAGCTGTAAAATGGAAACTTACCCGATCATGGAACTAAACTTGGGAGGAAAACCTGTTGGATGCTTACGTAACATTATATACATAAAATTAAGTCTAGGGAGAATTCCAATTTTACCCGAAATTTTATTATATAAGACGGTTGCTATTAGTATTTATCTAATTTTTTTGAATTCTTCAACTTTTTTTCAACCCTCACTTTATATTCTAAATTTTAATAACATTTATTATTTGAACATTCCACTTAATACCAATTTTATCCATATTCATACTATTATCACCCTCAATTGCACACCCACCTAATTTTGTACACCCTCTCTTCTTCTTCTCTTGGTGAACGATGAATGATTGAGATACGATTGAGAACAACAAACGATTGATAGACAAATCAACTATCCCTCTCTTCTCATTCTCTCATAAACGATGGTCTATTTCTCTTTGTCACCATGAACGACGGTATCTCAGTCAGAAATCTGTAGTAGGTTTGGCGCGATAACAGCATACACACGCTCTGTAAGTCTCTGCTTCACCTGCTCACCTCTTGAAGCGTAAGCCTGATGCACTGATTGAGCCGAAGAGGCTCCCTAATTGGCCCTCGAGGCCTAAGCTGATTGTGCCGACTGGTGGCTCTGTGTCTGCCTCGAACCAGATGCACTAGGTGTGCTACCCAACTAAGGGCAAAACCTTTTCATGTGCCCTGATTGCCTACACTGGTAACAAGTAGGCGGCTGCCCCCTCCCCTGACTCTGGCTCTGAGAACGAGCTGCAGGCGGTGCAAACTGTTGCCCTTCTACGCTCTGCACGCAAGCTGGCGACTTGTGACCCAACTGGGCACACTTGTAACAAGAGAAACCTCCTTGATTACCTCTCTTTGAGCTCAAACTCAGTACTGGGAAGGTGGATCTAGACTGTGCTGCATGGGACTACTGTGGGGTGGAACCCTCCTTGCCTCTTACTGTCCCAACTTTCCCCATGAACCTCCTGATTTCTCCTGGAGCCCCTCATCTGTTCCTCCTCTACTTAAACTATGATCTTAAGATGAGTCGCCGCCTCCTCCACAATGCGTCCTTAGTCCCTTATCATCGACCCAGCTAGTTTGAAAAGAAACCCAGTCCTCAATCTTTTCTCGAACTCAATACAACAACATTCCTCTAT